AATCTGTTTAGAATTAACCTAACAAAAGAGGAGTTAACGCTCAAATGAAAGATGATACTAACTTTCTTTAAGTTTATTTTAGTATATGCTTGTTAAAGATTTATACCCTGTATTTGTTCTGGGAAGTCGGGGGGGGGGGAAGGGAGGTAAATATTTGGAAAAGCTTTTTTTAAAATTTTCAATTTTCAATTTTAAAAAAACCACACACAGAATCAGAGGTGGGATTCACTTTCCTTTCCTACCGGTTTGCAAATGTGAGCGCACATGCCTCATCTGCGCATGTGCACCGCCTTCTGTGCATGCGTAGTGCTCGCGCATTACATCAGGATAGAGCCTCCTGCAGCCGCTGCTACCGGTTCACCTGAACCAGACAGAACCATCTGAATACCACCTTTGCACAGAATAGCCCAAAGTCACACACTGCTAGAGAGAAGTTCCCTGAGGATGGGCTCCAGCATGAGTCCAAAAGCTCAGAAGACTAAAAGCTCTGGTCCCGGTGACAAATCCATATTGGATCCTGCAACTTTATCCTGGGACATGTATATTCACCATTCATGGTTAGGGTGATCTGTTCAAGTAGATAAAATGCCTGGGAAAAGTAGTCAGAAACAGGAAAAGAAATAGGATCAGAAAGAATGTGCACAAGCTACAGTTAATTGTAGTTCACTTAATATAAGGGAAAAACTTCCTTATTGTAAGATCTACACAACAACAAAGTGCCTCGCCAAATGAAATGAAGGGTTCTTCATCTCTGGAGATTTTTAAGCAGAAGCTCTTCAGTCATCTCTCATAGATTGTTTGATTGGTTTTCTTGGACACACAGTAGCAGACGGATCCCTTCCAATTCCATGATTCACTACATCAGCTGTGATTTAATTAGCCAACCACAGGTAAGTAAGCATGCCATGCTTTATTACTTGCATGGATGCCACCCATCTGCTATGGCACGCTCATTCCTATGCAGCCAGTTGCCTTTAAAAAGAGAGACATTTTTTTAAAAAAAATAGTTTTTATTGAACCTTTTTACCTTTAAAAAAGGGGGGGGGACACATACAAAAATAAACGACAAGACAAACATAACAATATAAAATAGTTATACAGCCTTCTGTATTGGCATTCATGTTTAGCCTTTGTAATTCTCCATTGCCTTCCTATCGATATTAACTTCTGTAATAGTGTAATAACAGTTGTACTAACACTTGTAATAATGTTAATTGTTCATATCACTATTTTATTTACATTGTGGTCAATATTTTAAGTTTGATAGTAATGATTAACTTTGGTTAATTTTTATTCAATACGAGTTTAAAGAGAAAAAAACACAGAGACTTCTATTTCCTGTTCTGGCTTCCTAGCCACTTATAAATTCTATTCCATATTTTATAGAAATCCAATTCTTCTCTTTCTTTTAATTCCATGGTCAGAGAGACCATCTTTTAAATCCCTAAAATCAGCACAACTTTCAATTCCCCAGTGTAGCAGAAATCCCAGGAACATCCTTTCTCACCCCTTACCATACACTTTCTCCCAGGAGAACCAATGTGGTGTAGTAGCAGTTAAGGGAGTGCACAGGTCCCAGGGAGACAAATTCTCTTGGTCCAACCCTACTTCTCAAGGTTGTTGTGCAGGTAATAAGATAAAAGAAAGGTCGTTGTGGAAGCTACCTGGAAAACCTCTCGAGAAAAGGCAGGATTTAAATCTAAGGAGGACCCGATGAAGTGCCTGGCAATTGGGTCAAGGGAGGCCCTGCCCATCCCAATCCGCGTGACACGTCTCTCTGCCTCATAGGATTTCTCCAAACTCCCGAGGATGTTCCGTTGCTTCCTTCTCTTTCAAAGTTAGCCGGAACCCGTCAGGCTTTGTGACCCAGTGGATCTCCAGCAGGCAGTAGCAGGAGATTTCCTAACCCCCCCTCCCCTTTCCTTCCTTACACGCACACACACACAAAGCGCTCTTCCCGAAACACACTTCTGCTCTGCATTACCCAATGAAGCGAGAAGAGCACATTCCGTTTATATTTTTATATCCCGAAAGGACGGGAGGAAGCAGCCGTCCCTTGAATTGCAGAAGCAGCCGTTCTGCCTCCACCCGGAGTCCCTTCGGATCTCTTGCCTACAAGTAGCCGTAGGCTTCTCCTCCCCCCCCCCCCCCCCAATCCCCGCGTCCGCGATCGCAGTTGTCTCCCCCCAGCCCTCCCCACTCGTAATCTTCCAAGATCAGGGTGGGACTACTGAATGGAATATTTCCCCTTCTCTACAGCCAGCCGGCCCCCCCACGGATTTCAAGGATTTAGGATCCGTCACCAGAGACATTGCACAGTGGGGGAAGAGTGTCCTTGGCGTGCTCATCACTGCAAGGTAAGGGATGTCCGGGGGTTTTTTTTTGGGGGGGGGGGAAGGAGAGAGAGAAAAGGTGTTGAGAAAGAAAAGGGACCCTTTCACCTGACAACAGCCAGGCTGATGGATGGGCCAGGAGGGAGCAGCGCAGGTGAACCAGGTACCTGCTTGTAGGTGAGGGGGATGTCGAAATGCCAGGGGAAAGGGCCAAGTTACAACTGCACACCTGGAAGAATGTGAGGTTTGGGGGTGGGTGGCTGGCAGGGGTCCCGTGGGCTCTTCCTTGTGGTCTCCCAACATTCTCCCGGCCTCCACGGGGGTTTGTGGGGAAGAGCCGACTCGCCTTAGCGAAGCCAGGGACGAGGCTCAGCAATTGCTGATTGAGTCGCCTGGTGGCGGCGGGGGGGGGGGGGGGGGGGGGGGG